TGTTTTTTCCACCTATAGTGATTGAAAGATTTGACGGATATAGTAATCAGGGCTGGCATCTGTGGTCTCTTAGTGTTGGTAGAATATCTATCCAGAACCTTTCTGGCTTTCAGAGTTTCCATGGAGAAGTCAGGTGTAATTTGACAGGTCTATCTTTAAATGTTACTTGGTCTTTTTCCTTTTCTGCTTTTAATATTCTTTTTTTATTCTTCATGTTTGGTGTTTTAATTATTATGTGGTGAGGGGACTTTTTTTTGGTCCAGTCTATTTGGTGTTTGGTAAGCTTCTTGTACTTTCATAGGCATGCCCTTCTTTAGGTTGGGAAAGCTTTCTTCTATGATTTTATTGAATATGTTGTTTGCATCTTTGTGCTTGGCTTCTTCACATTCTTCTATACCTATTATTCTTAGATTTGGTCTTTTCTCGGTGTCCCATATTTCCTTGATATTTTGTATTAAGGATTTGTTGGATTTAAGATTTTCTTAGGTCAATTAATTTATTTCCTCTAGTTTGTCTTCAGCGCTTGAGATTCTCTCTTCCATCTCTTGTATTCTGTTGGTTATGCTTGCATCTGGAGTTCCTGATCATTTGCTCAGCTTTATTATTGCCTGCATTCCCTCAGTTTGTGTTTTCTTTATTGACTCTATTTCAGTTTTCAGGTCTTGGACTGTTTGAATTGTTTCTTTCATCTGTTTGATTGTTTTTTCTTGGCTTTCCTTACTTTCTTTAAGAGATTTGATTTCTTGCATTGTTTGGGTTGTTTTTTCTTTCATTTCTTTAAGGGATTTTCTCATATCCTCTTTGAGGGCATCTATCATTTTCATGAGGTTGTTTTTAAAGGTCATTTTCTTTTGTTTTATCTGCATTGGGATGCTCAGGTCTTGCTAGTTTAGAGTCCCTAGACTCTGGTGGTGTTATATAAGTCTTTCTGTTGTTGGATGTGCTCTTATACTCGTGTCTTCTCATCTCTTCTTCCAGTGGGTATAGGTGGGGTCTCTCCCTCTCCTGGTGGGTATGGGTTCAAGGCTGTATCCTCTTCTCTCTCTCTCTCTCTCTCTCTCTCTCTCTCTCTCTGAGGGTAGAGGGGAAAGACGGTCTGGCGGTTGCCGATCAGGGAACTGAAAGAGGCAGAAGTTGGCTAGAAGACTAGAAGAGCCCCTGGGACTCAGCTCTCAATCAGAATGTAGAGGGGCAAGACTGGAATTGCAGCTGATGAAGCTGGCTGCTTTGCTCTGCCTCCCTAAAGACTTGTAATAGCAAAAATCCTAGAAGAAAATACTGGACCAGGGAGCTTCCTTTACTTTGGTCTTTGTAGAGATTTTGTTTTGGATTTGACACAAAAATATAGGTAATGAAGTAAAAACAGAGAAGTGAGACCACATACATTAAGTCCCAGACTGCTAAAGGCAGGTAGAATGATGAAGAGACAAGTTGTGGGATGTGAGAAGTGCTTCCAGAGTTATACATGAAAGGTGGCTAGTATCCATAACACCTAAGTAAAAAACTCATACATCTCAATAGCAAAAAGCTACCCAATAAAAGACCAACAAAAAGGAGGTGGGCTGGAGAGAAGGCTCAGCGGTTAAGTGCGGAGGACCTGAGTTCAGTTCCCAGGACCCACTTAAGGCTCTCCCAATGACTTGTAACTCCAGCTCCAAGGGATTCAGTGATGTCTTCTGGCCTCCTTGGTCTCTGTCTCACATGAGCACACATCTGTAGATGAAAGCCTTTTGTCCTGCCCGCCAGTCCTGTAGTCACTTATAAAATAATCACTCAGAGACTTAATACTAATTATAAATATTTGGCCCATGGCTCAGGCTTCGTATTAGTTAGCTCTCACAACTCAAACAATTTCTATCAGTCTATATTTCCAGGTGGCCCATGACTCAGCAGTAATACTCTGGCATCTCCGTGACCCTGACTTCTGTCTCCTTGTCTCTCTGCTTGGGTTTCCCACCTAGCTATATTCTTCTCTACCATAGGCCAAAGCAGCTTCTTTATTATCCAATGGTAATAAAACACATTCACAGCAACAGAGGGGCATTCCACATCACATACCCACATGGAGACACATCCATACACATAATTAGACATAAAATAGTGTCTTTCAAAAATAGAGAAAGGGTTTAGACGGATACTCTACAAAGAAGAAAAACAACTATTGGGGTACACAAAAGGTGTGCTATCTCACAATCATCTCAGAAACGCAGTTTTAAAACACAATGAGATGTTACCTCACACACATTAGGATGACAATTGCTAAGAGGTGACAAGTGTTAGAAAAAATTTAAAGAAAATGAAATCCTTATATACTCACAATGGAAAAACTTATTGTGTTTTTCCCCTAAAAAATTCAAAATAAATTGAACGCTAGTCAGTCATCCCACCCCTTAGTCTATACCTGAAGGAAATGAAGTCAGTAAGTCAAAGACATATCCATATCCCTGTGTACATGGCAGCACTCATCACAATTGCCTATATAGAGAGAGACCATCTAAATGTCTGTTGATGGATGGATGGATAAAGAAAATGTGGGATACATGTAAGCACACAATTGAATATCATTCATCCATAAAAGGGAGACATGTTCCCATGGCAACATGGAGGAGCCTACAAGATGTTATGCTAAGTGAAATAAGGCAAACCTAGAAAGATAGATACTGAGTAATCTCACTTACATATACAATCAAAAGGGGAGAAGATGTGGCTGTCAGGGTCTGGGAAATGGGGGGCTTAGAGAGATTCCATTCCAAGGGCACCAAGCCTCACTTGTAAGGTGAGCATACTTTTGGGACCTAATATACAATCATGTAGTGAGTATTAGTGATATTGCATAATCGAAGTCTACTTAGATAGCTGATTGCAGGTGCTCTTGCTGCAATTAAAAGATAGCGATATGACAAATGCATTAATCACTGTGATTGTGGGAGTGACTTCAGAGTGTATAGGCCTTAGTGGCACATTCAGTGATAGCAGTTATGGGCTTGTATGCCATCTGCCAGTGTTGGGGCTGTCTGTGTGCAAGTGAACTCTGCACTCTTCACTCATTCTAAGAACATAGCATAGTCACCAGCACATCTCAGTCATACTCAGTCAACCACCACATCATGCACCTTCAACATCTGTGGTGAACAGCAGCCATGTTCCTGAACCTCAAAGAAATAGTATCGTGCCATTAGTTCTTGTCAACCCACACATACAGGTCACCTGGGAAGAACCTCACATGAGGAATTGCTGCCCCCAGACTGGCGTGTGGGCATGCCTGTGGAGCTTTTGTCTGATTAATGTTTGAGGTGTGAAGACCAAGCACACCGTGTGTGGTGCCACCCCAGGCAGGCGGTCCTGGGTTATAGATGAAAACTGGCTGAGAAAACCACAGCTAGCAGCCAGTAAGCAGCATTCCTCCATGGCCTCTGCTTCAATTGCTGACTGAGTTCCTGGTCTGACTTCCCTCAGTGATACACCATGACATGGAAGTGTAAGCAAAATAAACCCTTTCCTCCCCAAGTTGCTTTGGTCATGGTGTTTATCACAGCAGCAGAAAGCAAACTAATACAAATATTCTCTCGACCTGCCATGCACATAGCTTACTTGTACATTCACACACCTAGATGTTGCCTCTCTCAGAGTGAAGGATATTTTGCTTCTAACATTAAAAGAGTGAGATAGATGACTATAAGGAGGCCAATGTGCAGACGGCAGTTCACAGTAATAACAAAGATGGGTAAAGGCTGAGTGCTCTGTGCTGTCACCCTGTTTTGTAAGTACGCTCCCTTCTCCCTGGATGTGGGTGTTCCTTACGCAGTGTGACTGTTGACATGTCATTCAGGTGTCTCTGTTTGTCCTGAGCATGTCATATGTTCAAAGCATCTCTTCGTTATGAATAGCAAGCTATTGGCCTAACTTGTTTAAGTCCAAACAGTGAGGGTAGAAAACATGAAAGTCACAAGACTGATGAGAGAGCAGGTGAATACATATTCACACACGCATTCACACAACATACATGTGCATGTGAACATGTAAACCCGAACACATATTCACATGCATGTACAAGCACAAAAGTGCACATTGTGCATATACATGAGGGAGAAAGAGACTGCGGGTGGTGGATAATATGTAAACAACAGGCCTGCACATGGTAGAAGCAGCATCCAACATGGCATCATGGGAAGAGCCATTGAACACTGTCCTGGTTGCGTATGGGAAAGTCTCAGTTTCTCTTGTGTTGTTTTCTTCCTTGTAATGGCAGCACTAGGTGCAGAAATACAGACTCTCAGCTAGGGACAGGGCACCTGCAAGAATGCCCTGTATTGACACGGCTTGACAGTCAGGTGAGTGATAAAATGGAGGAGATCAAAATGCCTGCTTCAGAATTGGGTTCAGAGGACCCACAAGGTGCCTCATATGAAGAAAGTTTTATAAGGATCGAAAACTATGAAACAAAACCTCTGTCCTGGTCTTTCCTTTAAAACTGTTCACAATCTAATTTTCTAATATCAAGTTTGAAGTCCTATAGAACCAATGGTACTAGTGATAACATTGCTTGCTGAGATACTTTGGGGTGTGTGGATAGGCAACATCTGAACTGTATCTAGGACCAAGTCATTGGGACAGAGGATGAGCACTGACCTCAGGATGCTCTTAGGGCCCCTAGAGGACTTTGTTATTGTCCTCTCCTTAGGTCTCAATCCATTTGTAGCTCTGGAATCTCCATTTTCCTTGAATATTTTCAAGATCAAGCTCCGAGACGAGGCTTTGGGACTTCAGGTAGGTTTTGCCTGCTGCAGAACTTGAGTAGCATGTCCTCAGAGGGTCCTGCCCCTTCCAGAAACTTCTCCAAGACAGCTTCTTGTGTGCACCTCACTTGGACATACTTGAGGTCTGAGTTCTACATGGCCTGCATGTTCATGGGGAGACCCCTGGCTGTGTTGAATCTCAGCATATCTGAATGGTCACTTCTAACCCGCACACAGTCTACATGGTCAGTTTGTTTTCTACAGGGCTGTGGTAGTCTCCTGTTGGATGCCTGTTCCGGCACAGTGACCTGCTTGGGAAGGTCATCCTGCACTCCACAGCATCTGCCATGCCCTCTGCTATCTGCTGGCATCCTCTGTTGCCACGGTATGCTTTGTTTACATTTATAAATGGTCTATTAGTGATGGGGTCAATGATCTTTGTTTCTGCAGGAATGTCTTATTTCTACAACTAAATTTCAGGTTCTCTAAATTTCTAGCTTTGTTCATGGTATACTGTGTGATAAATGCTTATTGAAAAGTGAATCTGAATCTGCAGAAACACACACACACACACACACACACACACACACACACACACACACCCCTACCTCTTGTGGGAACAGCTCACCAGTCATATCACTCTTGGAAAAATACATTATTGAAAACATAACTCCTGTGGAAATGTCAATAACTCTGGAAGATGTCTATCATTGATCCCAATGTGGAGTTAGACTCTTATGTAAGATCTACATGAAACACTAGGGGGAAAAAGCCTTCATGAGATGCAGGGCTATTGAGACACTCAGAGGTAGAGCGAATGTTATTCTTATTTGCTTCTCATTGAATTAGAGGTTCATCCCTCCATGCCCTTGCTCTGTGTTTGGAGCCTGTTCTTCAGTGGGCTAGCTCTGTGTGTGCCCAGCGCAGGACCAGCACTGTACAGTATACCTCTCCTTCTTAGAAACGAGCTCAGGACTACACACATGTGTGCATGTGTTCTCATATACATGCTTATGTGTGCATGTATGTACAGATGAATACAACCACCCACACCCATATATACATGTACACACATAAACATATTAAATCAGATTTTGTGGTCTTTTGGAAAAGAAGCAGGTGAATGGGGCTTTAGCTCTGCTGTAGAGAACTTCTTGTTTAGCATGCAAAAGGCCCTGGGTTTAATGCCCCAGTATTATCTAATAGTGCTTTCCCCAAAGAAAATCAGAAAGTGCAGACTTGTTGTGTAAAAGTGATTTGATGTTAAATTGAAGCCCCAAGTTCCAGTTTAAATACATGCAGTCAGACTTATATAATAGCGATGAAGCCCTAACCCATGTTTAAACTCAAAACAGATCCCATTACTATAAAAGGAGCCAACATTCATTTTTTGAGCCTGTCCCTGGGCTTTGTTCTACGGGCTATGACATCCTTGTTTGGCACATGTCTTTGGGAGGAACATGTAGGCAGTTTTTCATTGGGACAACTGCCAGCTCCCAAATAACTACACAGAGACTTAATATTAATTATAAATGCTTGGCCAATATCTTAGGCTTGTTACTAACTGGCTCTTACAACTTAAATTAATCAATATTCTTATCTGAGTTGTACCATGTGGCTCATGGGTTGCTACCTCTCTTGCTACACATTCTGCTTCCTCTACCTCTGGCTCAAGAATCTTCAAACTCCACCCTTCTTCCCAGCCTCTTCCTAGTCTGGCTCTCCCACCTAGTCACTTCCTGTCTAGCTACAGGCCAGTCATTTCTTTTGAGGTCTAACTATTTTTATTTCCCCTTGTGCCCTGCATTCAGTCATGGGCTTCCAGCATGGGCTAAGCTGTGCATGAGGTCCCAGGTGGTCCATATGCAAACACAGCCCCCTTTCCCCTCAACACTGTTAACACATCATCTGCACACAATTTATGTTTTCAATCTGTTCTGACTTCAGAGTCATTCCCAAATATATTTCTCCCTGCATTATTTCCTGGGTTTGAGACCTCAGTCCTCTTCAAGGGATCCTTGGGTATCTTTCCCAGATGACCAGTCAGCTGCTGTGAGGTGCCCTGGCATCCTCTTTGGTTCACTTCATATCAACACCCCCCCCACCTTAAGCATCATACTGGTCATATGCATGACTCAGGAGGATAGGGCCAGGAGACCACCAGGACTGACTAGAGGATGTGTAGCTTGCACAGAAAGTGTGTGTGTGGGGGGGAGACTGATACACTTGTAAATGTATGTTAGGCACCAGGGCTTCCAGAGGAACATCCATGAACTTCACAGATAGGGAGGAAATACTCTGACATTCGATAGGCATTATAGCCTCATACACAGCCAGAGCCAACCCAGCTCCCTCTCATATGGAACCAGGCAAGCAGAGGCCAGTTATCTCCTGTTGCTTCAGGTTACCTCTATCAACTGGGGCAAAGACTGACACCTTCGTAAGAATTTCGAGAGGAATAAAAGTTCTCCTAGGACAGTTGACCACACGGTGCTTAGCACTTTAGAGGGTGGTGACTACTTGGCATTCTATTATAAATGTGGTCTATGGAGCATGCTAAGGTGGCAGGTATGGAGGAGGCAGGGTGGGGGTGACTAGAATCCTCTCACTTCCCCATGCTCGAGGTCCTGTGGAAAAGAAGATACCCATGCTATACTGCTCATGGGTGGGTGGGCTTTTGGGGGCTTAGTGCTGCATGAGTGAACATGGGCTCAAAGAAACAACATCAGTGATCTTCACAAACCTGCAGTTTGATGTCAGCAGTTTCAGGAACACTTTAGCCAATTGATTTCACTCACAATATTCTATCTTCCTGCATGCATGACAGGGTAAGAGGGAGAAGATTAGATTATGCTCACTGTCCTTTCTGTGCACCCTCCTGCCACCCTGCCCCCAGTCACCTGATGAGTTGACATAAAGGACAAAAATCACTCCCTGCTGGTATGCATGAAAGAACAGTCTAGAAGCTAGGACTTGAGTTACTGCAGCCAGAACTTCCTTTGTTTGCCCATTCCCAAGGGACACCACAAACAGGCAAGATGTGTACCCACAAGTGTTTCTGACACCAGACCCAGACCACAGAAGAGATGTGCACACAACTTTATACTTAGTATTTTGGCTTGAATTCCACTTGGGTTAAATATTGAGTGATTTATTCCAAGGTGCAAGGATGCTGCATGTAGGGAGGAAGCAGCATTGGGACATCTTCCAGACTGAGGCCAATGTGAACACAGTGATTTCTTCATGAGATTCTCACCAATGACAAGTGTTACTACTCACCAAGAGTGTCTCAGCATGGTCGATTCTCCCCTCTGTCCCTTCCATCTTCACCGCAATCCTGCGATTGCATCACAGACTCAGTTCCATAACCCATAGAGCCATGCTTATTGAAACGAAATAGCTTCCCCCAGATTAATGGCTAAGAGAGTGGCAGATGTGGGGGTAGGTGGCCTTTTCAGACATTGTGCCGTAATTCAATCCTTACTTTTGAAGGAAGAATTATCAAATAAAAAGACCCAGGTCTGTGTGGTTTCTAAGTCAGTGCACCTACTCTCTCATAATAGTTTAATTAATGTGACGAGGACTATGTGGCGACCTTGGTCCAGGCATTTCCACAAAAGAAATCTATCGAACACACAGTGAGGCCTTGAACAGTGTGTGCATCCCAAGCATCTTATACTTACCTCTCAAGTTTATAGCAAGGAGCTGAATTCAGGCCCCAGAGACAGAAGTCTCTGTGCTGTTCTGTCCACCAAAACAGCTTCATTGTGCCATCAGTATTGCTTTGTTCCTTGTCCTGTAGTGACAAAACACTCTGGCAAAGCAGCTTACAGGAGAAAGGCGATGATTTAGCCCACAGCTCAAAGTACAGTCAGTCATGGTGGGGGAGTCGAGGCAGTGGGCACTTGAAGCATGACAGTCACAGCTGGAAGAGAGAAAGACAGGCAAGCTGCCCCGCCCCCGGCCCCCATGTGTGCAATTCGGGATTCCCTGCTCTGGCAATGGCTCTTCCCACAATTAATGTGTCTCCCCACATCAATGAACAAGATCAAGATAATCCCCCACAGGTGTGCCTACCGTCCCATGTGATTCTAGATTCCCTAAGCTGAAGGTGACCACTAACCATCATAGGCATGAGGACTTACAGCTGGGACACTCCAGAATATCTGCCCTGAGTCCTTTGTCATCTTGTTCAACTAGAGATGCCTTTTACTCAGTTAAATCTCTCCAGAATTCCTTTCTTACCTAGAAATAAAGAAATGTAAGCTTTGAGCCTGATCACATTAACAGATGCTCCTAGAGGGGTATTAGGGGCTGAAAGGGCATCCTGGAGGATCATAGGAGGAGAATACGGCCGACTAAAGACTGCAGAGAGTGAGTGGTTCCCCTACATTCTAGGTACCAGGCCCACTGTTGATTGGAAACAGGAAATGCATTGCTTTATGTGCGTATTTGTTTTTGTGTTGGTATGCATACATGTGCCTGTGGAGGACAGGAGACAACGTCAGATGTCTTTGCCAGTCACTCTCTTATTTTTTAAGACAGGCATCTTTCCTTGGGCCAGGAGCTTGCTGATTGACTAGACAAACAAGTTCCAAGGTTCCTCACGTCCCCAGTGCTGGGATTAAGGGAGCACAGCACTGCCTGTGGCTTTTCGTGTGCAGGGGATTCAAACCCGGGTCTCCTTGTTTGCATGGAAAGCAGCCTTCTTACTGAGTCTTGTCCTCAGCCCCTTAGGTCATTTCCAAAGTGGCAAACTGCAGAGCCAGTGAGGACCTCTCCTGGTGGTGGATAGCATGGGTGGGAGTGCTGTGCAATCCTGTGACAGGGCTGCTCTGTCTGTCCTGTCCACTCTTTCCTGACTTGCAGTGTGTATGTACATGGTCACTTCTTGGTGCTGCCTGTTCGAGTTGATGACTGCTGTGTGCATGGAGGACTGTCCCTCTCCAGTCTCATCCAAACAAAAAAGCTTGATTGAATGTCATGCTTAACATGTAGACCTATAAGGCATGGCATTTTACAACCTTTTGTCTATTACACAACATAGCTAGCATTAGGGGCATGAAATTCTGCAGACGAACAGCTTCACTTGACACCAGAGCAGGTTAAGAAAATAGATACTACGGCTAACACTCTGAAAAAAAACTATTAGCCTGGGACTGGGGAGGTTGCTCAATGATTAACGTGCCTGCTATACATATAGCAAGCATAAAGACTGGAGTTCAGGTCTTACAAACCCATGTAAATAATGTATGGGTGTTAAGGCCCTCCTATAATTCTAGCGCTTAGATGGTGGAGACAGCGGATCCCAGAATCAAGCCACATTGGAAAGCTCTGGGTCAATGAGGGACTAAACCTCAGTGAATAAGGTGGAGACCAATGGAG